CAACCGTCATAAATAGGAGTTAATTGCCAAGCGTCTGAATTTTGATCACATGATCATGGAGAGGCTGCAATGGTCGTACATGTGAAAAATGGTCATAAGTCATCTGTCGGGGTTCTGACATATCCACCCCCATTTAAATCATGAGTCTCTAGCCTCATCTCTCAGAGTAAAAGAAAAAATAATTTATTAGGAGTGACCATGTCAGCATTACCTGGGTGCAGCTGACACTAAACTACATCATTCATTTCCCCCCTTGATCCTGGTCCTCCCCCCACCCCCTGGTGTAGATTCTCCAATGGGACACATCCATAGCCCAGAATCATCAATCATGCTCTCCAGTAATAATCTTGCGCACCAACAGCTTCGGCCGCCTAGCAATTACCTGAAGCATTTAAGGAATGCACTGCTTTCTCCCCGTCCCTTTCTGCTGGCAACTAATAAGACCAGAGAAATATTTTTTAGTTGACATCATCTTTTTCAGTTTTGTGGCCTCAATGACTGTCTTAAAAGGATTCAATGACCAGCTGTGTCTGCAAGGAGTATAAATCCTTCCGTTCCCCACCCTCCAGTCAGAGCTGAAGAAGCTTCTTGGATGAGAAGCGAAACATCTTCAAAGAAAAACCTGAAACAGCACCTGATCTGAGGACACAGATAAACCTCCAAGTGGCCTCAACGACCCTCTCAAAGGGATGCAAATGACCAGCTGTCTGCAAGGAGAATAAATCCTTCCATTCCCCCCACCATCCAGTCAGAGCTGAAGAAGCTTCTTGGAGGAGAAGCGAAACATCTTCAAAGAAAAAAAAACAGAAAGTCCAGATACCTCTCGAAGAAGCACTTTTGATGCTTGCCAACAGAAGTTGTGGATGCTTCATCGCTGGAGGCTTTCAGGAAGAGGTTGGAGAGCCACTTGTCTGAAATGGTATAGGGTTTCCTGCTTTAGCAGTGGGTTGGACTAGAAGACCTCCAAGGTCCCTTTCAACTCCGTTCTTCTGTATTCTGCACGCCAACAGCAAATTTACCTCTGTTAAATCTTCGTGCTTAATCTAGAAAGCGTTGGACTGTTTTGTGGTGCCTCATCCGCACGAGGCCTGGAAAGGAAAACCTATCATTATTGTATACACAACGCTGGGAAGTCACAGCTGCTAGTTCTTTAGCTGGCTGTGTTGGCCTCCATTCACACTGTGTTCTCCCCAAGAACCGAGGATGCCGTAATGTATCATCCATGCAGCTCCAAACACTTTGGCCTTTTGTAATTGGCAGATGGAAATGTTTTCTCAACGTGCAAATTTCCCAAGCGCCATCCAAGGCTTTCGGGCATGGCGTTGTGTGTGCTGACAATCACTGGGACCGCCGTGCTGGGTCCACGGCACAATTTTTCAATTTGGATTTCCAGATCTGGATGATCCTGTCTGGTTTTCTCCAGTTCTTTGACTATCTCCTGATATGGCTCTAACAAACATTCACACTTCCTTCTTTTCATCCACAGTTAAACCTGAGCAAAGACATGACAAAATGAAGAATGGTGGCGGGAACAGGGTAGGTTTAGTCTGATGAAAAGAAGGACCAGGGGAGACATGATAGCAGCCTTCCAATATTTGAGGGTCTGCCCCAAAGAAGAGGGAGTCAAGCTATTCTCCAAAGCCCCTGAAGGCAGGACAAGAAGAAATGGGTGGAAACTAATCAAGGAGAGAATCGGCTTAGAACTAAGGAGAAATTTCCTGACTGAGAAAACAATAAACTAGTGGAACAACTTGCCTCCAGAAGTTGTAAATGCTCCAACACTGGAAGTTCTTAAGGAGAGATTGGACAAACATTTGCCTGAAATGCTATAGGCCCAGTTTCCTGCCTAAGCAGGGGGTTGGACTAGAAGACCTCGAAGGTACCTTCCAACCCTGTTATTTTGTTCTATTCCATTCCATTCTATTTCTTCATTTCATTATTCTATTCTGTTCTGTTCTGTTCTATTCTATTCTTTCCTTATTCCTTGTTCTGTTATCTTATCTCTTCTTCTCTTCTCTTCTCTTCTCTTCTCTTCTCTTCTCTTCTATTTTATTTCTATTCTATTCCATTCCATATTTTCTATTCTATTCTATTCTAATTCTATTTCTATTCCGTTCCATTCCATATTTTCTATTCTATTCTATTCTATTTCTATTCCATTCCATTCCATATTTTCTATTGTATTGTATTCTATTTCTATTCCATTCCATTACATATTTTCTATTCTATTCTATTCTATTCCATTTCTATTTCTATTCTATTCTATTTCTATTTCATTCTATTTCTGTTCTATTCTATATTCCATTCCACTCCATATTTTCTATTCTATTTGTATTTCTATACTATTCTATTTCTATTCTGTTCTATTTTATTCTATTCTATTTTAATTCCTTCTTCTATTCTATTCTATTCTATTTGTATTTCTATTCTATTCTATTCTATTTGTATTTCTATACTACTCTATTTCTATTCTATTCTATATTCCATTCCATTCCATTCTAGAAGGCTGTAAAGCGGTATACAAGTCCAAGTGCTCTTGCTATTCTGACTGCCTGCATGCCTTCAGACCAGGCATGGGGACTTAGTGGCAGCAGCAGAGAGACAGCCCTGAGTATTTATGACGTATTTTGAGTTATCACCTCATTCCTGGAATGTGAAGTAATTGGAGGGGAGAAAAAACGATCCATCATGAACAAAGGAGGGAAAAGATTTCTTAATACAGGTAGTCCTCAACTGACAACAATTTACCTAGCGGCCATTGAAAAAAGTCAACTTACGACCGTTTTTCACACTTGCGACCATTGCAGTATCCCCATGGTCCCGCTCTATCAAACATTCACGCTTTCTTCTTGTCATCCCCAGTTAAATCTGAGCAAAGATATTACAAAATGCAGAAATTACAGAGTAACACTGCTGAAAGGGATCTTCGAAATTTGGGTGCTTGGCAACTGACTCCCATTTACAACAGTCGCCGTGTCCCGGGGTTACGTGATCCCCTTTGGCGACCTTTGGACGAGAAAAGCCCATGGGGAAGCCAGATTAAAATCCTTGTTACTATTTTAACAATTGTGGTGATTCCCTAAATAAATGTGGTGAGAAAATTCATAAAGTGGGACAAAACTCACGGAATAACAGTCTCACTTAGCGACAGAAATTTTGGGCTCCGTGGGTGGTGGTCATAACTCGAGGCCTACCTAAAAAGCCTTCAACCCACAAAACAACTCCGCCAAGGAGGAACGTTCACACATTCTGGAAGTGAGGAAATACATATTTCTCCAGGGGTGTGGCCTGCTATGGGTTCTCCCAGGTTTCGGCCGACCCATTGTTAACATTATAGCTGGTTCTGCAAACCGCTAAATCCCACTCCTGGCTGGTCCCGCCCCGCCCACCCCACCAGCCAGGGGTGGGATTCAATTTTTTTAACAACCGGTTCTGTGGGCGCAACTTAGTTGGTGGGCGTGGCTTAGTTGGTGGTCATGTAACTGGATGGTCATGTTATTGGCTGGGCGTGGCCAATGCAATATCACTCACATCAAGGCACGCATCTCCTCGCCTGGCCTCTCGTGACTGTGGGGATGCTGCAACAGTCGTAAGTGTGAAAAAGGGTCATAAATCCCTTTTTTCAGTACCATTGTAACTTTGAATGGTCCCTCCACACAAGCAAAATCCCAGCAAAGGAGGGGGAAAAAAACTCCAGACACAGTTCCAGAGACAGGAAGTCTAGTCCTGCCAAGAATGTAATAAGGTTAACAGAGAGGCAGTTTCTGTAAGCAACACCAGAATGTTTCCTTCCTGCCTTCCTTACAGGATTAGGCCAGTAAAAATTTCCTCTAACAACCGGTTCTCCGAACTGCTTAGAATGTTAACAACCGGTTCTTACCAAATAGATGCAAACTGATAGAATCCCACCCCTGCCGCCAGCCCTGCCTCTCCCAGGAGTCTCCACGTGGCCCATTTTGGATGCGAGGTAAGTGCACAGCCCTCACAGAGGCTCTGGGAGGGGGGCGGGAAACAGGCCTCCCTCAGGCTTGGGAAGTCCGGAAACCTCCGAAGTCCGGGGAGACCATTTTCACCCTCCGGGTGGCCCAAGAAAAGCCTCCAGAGACTGGGGAGGGAAATAAACGGCCCACCCACCCCCGCCATGGTGCAAGAGGCCGACTAGGCAATGCCCACCATGGCCACGCCCACTCAGCAACCGGGCCGAGAACACTTGTGAATTGCACCTTTTAAGCCGTAGGGAAAACAGAGATAGAGAGAGAGAAAGAGAGAGAGAGAGAGAGAGAGACTATTTCAAATTTGTCAATTCCTCTCCCTGCTCCCCCCATCTCCAACTGATCTGTATGCACAAGAGAAATCCAAGGTCTCTTCAGGTGTTTGCATAAATCTGAATTCTTTTGCACAGCAATTATCTTGTCTTAAGAGGAAAGGGAGGGATACACAAACAAATCTTATTGTGTTATTTTTAGAAATGGGGGATTGGGAAAAAGAGACAGTGAAGAGATGGGAGAAGAATGACTGCTTTTATTTTATTTTTTTATTTTTTTATTTTACATTGTTTTATTTTTACTTTGCCCTATTTTGTTTTATTTCATTTTATTATTTTATTTTATATTTTATTTTATCATCTTATTGTATTGCATGTTTTTATTTTATTTATGAAAGGTAACCCTCTACTTTTGACCACAACTGAGCCCCAAATTTCTGTTGTTAAGTGAGGCATTGAGTTAAGTTCAGTTAAGTTGAATTAAAACGACGCTACAGAGCCCTGCACACCAGAACAACTAGACAGAAGGACACTTTTTCCCTGAAATGCCATCACTCTGCAAAACAAATGATTTCCTCAACACTGTCCAACTATTTACAAAGTCTGCACTGCTATTTCTACTAATCTGCTCACCACTCTTTATCACCCATCCCCTCCCGTTTGTGACTGTATGGCTGTAATTTGTCACTTGTATCCTTATGATTTATATTGACTGTTTCCTAGTATGATTTGATTGCTGATTGTACCCTATGACTATCATTAAGTGTTGTACGTTATGATTCTTGATTCTTGACGAATGTGTCTTTTCTTTTTATGTACACTGAGCATTTACACCAAGACAAATTCCTTGTGTGTCCAATCACACTTGGCCAATAAAAGAATTCTATTCTATTCTATTCTATTCTATTCTATTCTATTCTATTTCCATTCCATTCCATATTTTCTATTCTATTCTATTCTATTCTATTCTATTCTATTCTATTCTATTCCATTCCATTCCATTCCATTCTATTCTATATTTTCTATTATATTCTGTTCTGTTCTGTTCTGTTCTGTTCTATTCTATTCTATATTCTCTCTTCTCTTCTCTTCTCTTCTCTTCTCTTCTCTTCTCTTCTCTTCTCTTCTCTTCTCTTCTCTTGAATTCTCTTCTATTCTATTCTAATTGAACTTTGCCCCACTTTATGACCTTTCTTGTCACAGTTGTTAAGTGAATCTGATTCCCCCATTTTGATTTCGTTTATCGGAAAGGCTGAAAAAGTGATCACATGACCCCAGGAACTGCAATTGTCATTAGTACCTGCCAATTGCTAAGTGTTCAAAATTTGATCATGTGACCCTGGGGATGCTGCAATAGTTGTAAGTGTGAAAAATGGTCATAAGTCACTTTTTCCAGTGCCGTTGTAGCTTTGTGTGGTCACTAAATGAACTGTTTTTAAGTTGAGCTTACCTTTGTTTTGTTTTGTTCTATAATTTGTTTTTATTTTATATATATGTGTGTGTGTGTGTACATACACACACACACACACACACACATCGCACAAAAACTCCAGAACCATAAAGCCTACACACTTGAAATTTGGCACGTATATTCCTCTTGGCTTCTAGGTGCTCACTAAGAAAGGATTTGTTGACATGACCATCAGAGCATTAGTATTTTCTATATTATTATTAACACGCAATCTTATTAGTGGTGGGATTCACATTTTTTGACTACCAGTTCTGTGGGCGTGGCTTGGTGGGCATGGCAGGAAAAAGATACTGTAAAAATCTCCAGTCAGAGGTGGGATTTGCTGGTTCTCCGACCTACTCAAAATTTCCGCTACTGGTTCTCCAGAACTGGTCAGAACTGGCTGAATAACCACCTCTGGTTCTGATGCTAAGGAGTTCAACTCCCCCTGCCCACCTGGAAAGAAATCTGTTCCAAATTGCAAAACACAAGCAGAGGAGAGGAGTTTTGGTTTAAGCTTCCGTATCCTGCTTGAGCCAGGGGTTGGACTAGAAGACCTCCAAGAACCCATCCACCTGTCCTGAGAGGGGGAAAGAGAACCTTTTGATGTTATCCAAAACATTGATTTGAACTTGACTTTTGGTGGCTGCCAGCCAGGGCTCCCTGATGGGTTGGGTTGATTCATTTATTGGCTAGTTTAAAAACTCACCACCGGCTTTTTCCGGAAGAAAGAAAATTGGGAAAGGGAGCAAAGCAGAATTAGATCAATATTTACACACCTCTGATGTCCAGCTATTGACCCTTGTATAAAATGGGACAGCTGGACTTAATCGAAGTTTTGGTGCCCAGCTGTTCCTCCTCCTCTGCCCATCACCTTCAGAGGCTCAAAGGATGTTTCCTGGTGCGAGAGTGCTCCTTCCTTCCTTCCTTCCTTTTTCTTTCTTTCTGTATTTCCTTCTGTCTTTTTTCTTTCTGTCTTTTCTTCTTTCTTTCTACTTCCAT